ATATATACAAGTGTTTCAACAGCTGTATGGAGATTCTTGAATGTCCCAGGAACTGCTCATGAAATAGCTATCTAATTATCTGAGACAGTTGTCTGTGACCCCCCATTGCACATTCCATACAGTGGTTTCTAACGCGCTTGAGTATGGAGGAGTAATGGTCACAGAACTGTCAGAATAATGCCTCATTTACTGACAGTTCCAGGTGACATTCACATCCCATATCAGCGGTTGAATCAAACCGCTGGTCTTATGGAGGGAGAAATGTTCCCAGAACCGTAGTACAGAAATAAGCCTATTTCTGACAAGTTTCTGTGACATATTCACCCATTCCATACAGCGGATTGAAACATTGTATCTAATTTGTATTCCATACAATGGATCCAATATATGTAAACCAACTGGTGTGTGGGGGGGCGGGAGGGAGGGGGAATTTTTTTATACAATGTTTCAATAGCCGCATGTAATGGACGTGACTTGGTCACAGAACTGTCCCGAAATAGCGGAGCTCTGCAGTATACGATCTTAGACGGAGACTCTGGTCAGATAGTCATTATTGTGGGGGGGGGGGGGGGGGGGGGGGGTAGACACACATTTTGCCTGGCTTTGGAATTTATTTCATTATTTCTTTCATCCTACTTCTTCTTCATCCTCATCCTCAGCAAGAAGAAGAAGAGGATGATTGATTGAGGATGAAAGAGGAAAGTAAGAAGAAGAAGTAGGATGAAAATAAGAAATTAATTCCAAGACCGGCAAAAAGTTATACTGTATCTGCAGAGCTATCGCTCTGATCTCCTTGCACTGCAGATACAGCTTTAGAGGAGCACTGCTTTCAGGCAGATACGACATCTTTATGCCGTGTCCTGGAATTATTCTTATAGAGTCACACACTTCTTCTTCTTCTTCTTCTCATCCCAGCGCATGCGAGCAGTACGAGAGCAGTGCTTCATCTGATGATGAGGATCGAAGAAGAGAATGTATGGGGATGAAAGATAAGTAATAATACGCAGCTAGCCGGCAAAAAGTTGTAATCAGCCAGAGCTACCTCTAAAAGTGTATCTGCAGAATAGAGCGTAGCGTCATGCAGATTACACTTTTTGCCGGCTTGGAATTATCGTTATTTTCATCCTACTTCTTCTTCTTCATCCTCATGAGCCTCTTCTTCTTCTTCCTGAGGATGAGGAGATGAAGAAGAAGAATTAACAAAAGTAGATGAAAATAAAGAATAATTCCAAGCCGCAAAAAGTGTATCTCGCAGAGCTCCTCTATTCTGCAGATACACTAGAGGAGCTCTGCAGATACACACTTTTTTGCCGCTTGGCAATTTATTCTTATTTTCATCCTACTTCTTCTCTTCTTCTTACATCCTCATCCTCATTAAGAAGAAGAAGGTAGGTGAAGAGGATTGAGGTAATGAATGAATAAGAAGAAGAAGAAGAAGTAGGAGATGAAAATAAGAATAATTCCAAAAGTTACGGCAAAAAGAGTGATCTGCAGATGACCTCCCTTAGTGTCTGGCAGATACACTATAGGGGTGAGCTCTGGCAGATACACTTTTTGCAGCAGACACTTTTGCCGGCTGATCGTGAAAAATCCGATTTGCGCACCCGAAGTAGGCAAATATTCGGATTCGACGCGAATCAAATTTTTCCTGAAATTCGTATCGAATTTCCGGTTCGCCTGGTTCGATTCGCTCATCTCTATTCATATTGACAACCCTGCTGCAGGCCTTAATGCTGCTTGGGGCAGACGTGAACATACCTTTGGCAGCCCAGAGGCCATTGAAGATGCTTTATTCAAACGGTTACAAAGCTTCCCAAGGATTTCTGCTTGCGACAATCTAAAGTTTCAAGAACTCAGCGATGTTCTATTAGAGCTTCAACTTGCTAAGGCTGATATCAACTTACCTGGTCTCAGTTACCTTGACACCTCTCATGGCATCAAATCTATTGTTCTCAAGCTACCATATGGAATTCAAGAAAGATGGGCAGCGATAGGATCAAAGTATAAGGAAGAACATAGAGTTGCCTTTCCTCCTTTTTCCTACGAGTTCATCAAAAAGAATTGCAGACACTAAAAATGACACAAGTGTCTCATATGGGGACTGTAACCTTCTCTGTACACTCTCTCCAAGACAAGAACGTAAGGAACTTTTGAAGAAATTTGGGGTTTGCTACAAATGCTGTGCCTCCACAGAACACTTTGCAAAGGACTGTAAAGCGATCATCAAATGTATAGAGTGTGACAGTGAAGACAATATGCAAGCTCTTCATCAATATTCGCACAACTCTACTACGCTCACAAACAATCTTCCTGAGGCAAAGCAAGGTGGGAACGCCCAGATCAAGCAGCACCTACCACCCCAATGTTCTCTACATGTACAGAGGTCTGTGGAGAAGGATTGTGCGACAAATCTTGTGCAAAGATATACTTGGTCCGTGTATACCCCAAAGGTCAACCTGAAAAGGCCATAAAACTATACTATTCTGGATGATCAGAGTAACAGATCTCTTGAGAGAACACAGTTTTTTGAACTGTTGAACATAACTGGAGATGCTCTGCCTTATACTCTAAGCAATTGTTCCGGCACTACAGAAGTCTTAGGAGAGCCAGTGGTCTTGTAGTTGCTCTTCTGAATGACAATGTGGAAATATCTTTGCCCACTATTACTGAGTGCAACCAGATTCCAAGCATCAAAGAAGAGATCCCTACTCCTGAAGCTGCTTTTCACCATTCTCACTTAAAGCACATTGCCAACCAAATACCAGCCCTCGATGAAAGTGCCGATTTCCTGCTGTTACTTGGTCAAGACATCCTAAGGATGCACAAAGTTTGTCATCAAATCAACGGTCCACACAATGCACCATATACTCAGCGTCTGGATCTAGGATGGGTCATCATAGGCAATGTCTGCCTAGACAAGACAAGGACAGGAGGTCCTACTCAGTTTCTTCCTTTAAAACACATTTCCTATCAAATGGATGAACAACTTGTTCTGCACAACAACCACATAAATATATTGTGAAAGAAAGACTGTTTGAAAAAGGTGCACAGCAGCACATCATACAAGACAATAAGAAAGCTCTTAATCTCTGGGATGACAACATCGGCAACACAGTATTTGAGGTAACCACTAAAGACAATGATTTGGCAACTACTATAGAAGACAAAGAATTCTTGAAAACCATGAGTAAAGAGTTCTACCAAGAAAGAGGCTACCAAACAACAGGGTACATGCAGAATCACGGTTTGTTTCTTTAAATTGCAGTTTGAACCAGAAGCTTGAGATGAAAAGGCACTTTGTGGACTTCATGCAGAAGGTGTTTGAGAGCCTGCACCTCCTCTTACAGAAGGAGAAGAATGTTGGTACTTACCATGCTTTGGTGCATCCTCACAAGCCTGATCAAATTAGGGTGGTCTTTGACTCAAGTGCTCGTCATGAAGGCGTCTCCCTCAATGACTATCTTCTCACTGGGCCTAATCTGAACAACAATCTCATAGGAGTTTTACTTCGCTTCAGACAAGAGCCAATTACTGTTATGGCTAACACTGAGCAGATGTTCCACTGTGTCAGGAATGGACTTGCCAGTAATGGTGGGACTCGCCTGCCTTGTGGGCTGCAGTACCAGGGCTGGCCAGCGGGTGCTCCCAGCAATCAGAGACTCAACCCTGCAGCCAGCCAAACACCTGAAGTTGATTATACAGGTGTATTTAAGGGATGGCCAGACCTGCAGTTTCTGCCTTGGTGTGTGTTTTTCCTGGGCCCTGTATCTTGTTCCTGCATCCCTGTTCCTGTTCCTGTTCCTGTCCCTGTCTGACTGATTCGTTGCTGACCCTGCCTGATCCGGACCTCTGCTGACTTCTCCTGTTTCATCCCTGGCTTGTGACCCCTACCATTCTCTGCCTGACCCCTTGTACCTACCTGCCCGATTGTTATTGACCCGGCCTGCCTGACGACGCTTGCATTGTATGTACTGTTATCTGTGGGTGGTTTGGTTTGGTTCGTTTGCACTGTGTTATGTTTTAGTATTGCACTGCGTTTATGTATTGTTAGTCTTTAATAAATTATATTGTTTATAACTTATCTGAAGCCTGCGTTTCCCTGCGTCACATACCTCTGGTCACACCCCGGAGCCCTGACATTACACCAAGGCCAATCCTGACAAGAAGTGGCTGCACAGGGAAGCCATCTTGGCTTGTTGCTGGGAAGGATGGATCTGGATGAGGTTGTGTATTTATCTCTGCTAGTGTTTGATGACAGAGAATATGCTTATCAGACTCTGAAGGAGTATCCCAGGGATCAACTGCTAGAATGTATAAGGATCACTCATTGCCTAGTAGATCAGGGCACAGAATTCTCTGAGGTGCAGCCATTGATTCAGGTTTGTGCTGAGTTGGTTTCATCTGGTACCCCCGAATGCAGGGATGAATTTTTTGCCGCCATTTAGTGCCGACCAGGTAGAGTCCCTAGTATGGTTATTAGAGGATGATGTGGATTACTTTCTGGAGCGTTATTCTGCATGTTCACCACAGGTACTAAGAGATTGTATAAACGCAGTGCAGTCATTGACCAGACAGGCTTTGTGTAAACTGAGCTTTGTTCAACCCATACTGCAGACATGGTCAGACTTGTTGCACGCAGCCTCAGTCAGCTTACAACATCATTCCTCCACTCAAGGCATTCTTCCTGCATCCCCGACAGCACCCCCAGTGACTGCCCAGTATACTCTAACTACCACATACCAGTCCTCTGCTCCCACTCGCTGCACCTATCCTTTCTTTAACCCTGTAAAGAAGTCCTCTGTAGCAACTGCTCCCTCCTCTGTTCCATCTTCCAGCTCTTCTCTGTCCTCAGCTGCTCCATTTGTTTGCAGACCTGCGTTTACTTGCAGTGCCCCAGTAGTTAAAACCAGAAAAAAGCGGAAATTCTTTCCAAACAGTACCATCCTGCCAGTATCCAAACCGGTGAGCCTGCCGTCTGAGAACCTGCCTTCCGTGGTTCAGCCTGGTGCCTCGGCACCCGCACTTCAGCCTGATGCCTGTACCCAGCCTGATGCCTGTACCCAGCCTGATGCCTGTACCCAGCCTGATGCCTGTACCCAGCCTGATGCACTGATCCAGCCTGATGATCCTATCATGCCAGATGACGCGGTGCCCGCTGGCGAGCCAAATGACCTGATGCCTGGTGACCCAGTGCCCGCTGTCATACCTGGTGACCCGATGCCCGCTGTCGAGCCAGACAATCCCATGCCTGATGACCCAGTGCCCGCTATCATGCCTGGTGACCCGATGCCCGCTGTCGGGCCAGACGATCCAATGTCTGACCCAGTGCCCGCGGTCATGGCAGTTGACTCGGAGCCCACTGTCGGGCCTGGTGACTCGGTGCCCACTGCCTTGCCAGATGACGCGGTGCCCGCTGGCGAGCCAAATGACCTGATGCCTGGTGACCCAGTGCCCGCTGTCATGCCTGGTGACCCGATGCCCGCTGTCGAGCCAGACGATCCAACGCCAGATGACCCGGTGCCCGCTGTCGATCCAGACGATCTGGTACCTGATGACCCGGTGCCCGCTGTCGTGCCAATTGACTCAGAGCCCACTGTCGTGCCTGGTGACTCGGTGCCCGCCGCCTTGCCAGATGACGCGGTGCCCGCTGTCGAGCCAAATGACCTGATGCCTGGTGACCCGATGCCCGCTGTCTAGCCAGACGATCCAATGTCTGACCCAGTGCCCGTGGTCATGCCAGTTGACTCGGAACCCACTGTCGTGCCTGGTGACTCGGTGCCCACTGCCTTGCCAGATGACGCGGTGCCCGCTGGCGAGCCAAATGACCTGATGCCTGGTGACCCGTTGCCCGTTGTCGTGCCTGATGACCCAGTGCCCGCCGCTCCGCCTGGGGGCCTGGCGCCCGCCGCTCCGCCTGGGGGCCCGGCGCCCGCCGCTCCGCCTTGGGGCCCGGCGCCCGTCGCTCCTCCTGGGGGCCCGGCGCCCATCGCTCCTCCTGGGGGCCCGGCGCCCGCCGCCCCTCCTGGGGGCCCGATGCCTGTCGCTCCGCCTGGGGGGGCTCGATGCCTGTCGCTCCGCCTGGGGGCTCGATGCCTGTCGCTCCGCCTGGGGGGGGCTCGGCGCCCGCCGCCCCGCCTGGGGGCCCGATGCCTGTCGCCCCTCCTGGGGGCCCGCCGCTCCGCCTGGGGGCCCGATGCCTGTCGCCCCTCCTGGGGGCCCGCCGCTCTGCCTGGGGGCCCAATGCCTGTCGCCCCTCCTGGGGGCCCGGCGCCCGCCGCTCCGCCTGGGGGCCCGATGCCTGTCACCCCTCCTGGGGGCCCGCCGCTCCGCCTGGGGGCCCGCCGCTCCGCCTGGGGGCCCGACGCCTGCCGCCCCTCCGCCTGGGGGCCCGACGCCTGCCGCCCCTCCTGGGGGCCCGGCGCCTGCCGCCCCTCCTGGGGGCCTGGCGCCCGCGCGCCCCCTCCTGGGGGCCCGATGCCTGTCGCCCCTCCTGGGGGCCCGATGCCTGCTGCTCCCCTGGTGATCCGGTGTCCAGCTCGATGTGCCTCTGCCCGGAGTCCAGCTCGATGTGCCTCTGCCCGGAGTCCAGCTCGATGTGGCTCTGCCCGGAGTCCAGCCCGATGTGCCGCTGCCCGGAGTCCAGCCCGGATGTGCCGCTGCCCGGAGTCCAGCCCGATGTGCCGCTGCCCGGAGTCCAGCCCGATGTGCCGCTGCCCGGAGTCCAGCCCGATGTGCCGCTGCCCCCGGAGTCCAGCCCGATGTGCCTCTGCCCGGAGTCCTGCCCGATGTGCCTCTGCCCGGAGTCCTGCCCGATGTGCCTCTGCCCGGAGTCCTGCCCGATGTGCCTCTGCCCGGAGTCCAGCCCCATGTGCCTCTGCCCGGAATCCAGCCCGATGTGCCTCTGCCCGGAGTCCAGCTCGATGTGCCTCTGCCCGATGTGCCGCTGCCCGGAGTCCAGCTTGATGTGCCCCTGCGTTCCCCGGAGTCCTGCCCGATGTGCCGCTGCCCGGAGTCCTGCCCGATGTGCCGCTGCCCGGAGTCCAGCCCGATGTGCCGCTGCCCGGAGTCCTGCCCGGTGTGCCGCTGCCCGGAGTCCTGCCCGGTGTGCCGCTGCCCGGAGTCCTGCCCGGTGTGCCGCTGCCCGGAGTCCTGCCCGATGTGCCAGTCTTTGATATCCCACCAGTTACCAGACCCGGGCGGTGGAACATTTTGCCCAGCTAGGACTGTTTGGAGCGTCCTGAGGCCGCTCCTTGAGTGGGGGGTACTGTCAGGAATGGACTTGCCAGTAATGGTGGGACTCACCTGCCTTGTGGGCTGCAGTACCAGGGCTGGCCAGCGGGTGCTCCCAGCAATCAGAGACTCAACCCTGCAGCCAGCCAAACACCTGAAGTTGATTATACAGGTGTATTTAAGGGATGGCCAGACCTGCAGTCTCTGCCTTGGTGTGTGTTTTTTTCCTGGGACCTGTATCTTGTTCCTGCATCCCTGTTCCTGTTCCTGTCCCTGTCCCTGTCTGACTGATTCGTTGCTGACCCTGCCTGATCCGGACCTCTGCTGACTTCTCCTGTTTCATCCCTGGCTTGTGACCCCGACCATTCTCTGCCTGACCCCCTGTACCTACCTGCCCGATTGTTATTGACCCGGCCTGCCTGACGACGCTTGCATTGTATGTACTGTTATCTGTGGGTGGTTTAATTTGGTTCGTTTGCACTGTGTTATGTTTTAGTATTGCACTGCGTTTATGTATTGTTAGTCTTTAATAAATTATATTGTTTATAACTTATCTGAAGCCCGCCTTTCCCTGCGTCAGTCACATACCTCTGGTCACACCCCGGAGCCCTGACACACTGTTTCATCGTCCGCAAGATTACAGAAACTTCTTCAGGTTCCGATGGTACCGCAATAATGATGTCAACGATGAAGTCATAGACTACCAAATGAAGGTAAATGTTTTCAGTAACAGTCCTTCTCCTGCAGTAGCAATTTATGGACTGAGGAAAACAGCTCAAGGGGGTGAGAAAGAATTTGGATTTGATGCAAGACAGTTCGTCGAAAGGAATTTCTATGTGGATGACAGACTCAAATCTCTGCCCAATGAATGAGAAGCTATTGACCTTCTTACTAAAACCCAGAACATGCTTGCCACTGCAAACCTCAGACTTCACAAAATCATCTCTAACAGCGACAAGGTCATGATAGCCTTTCCTTCTGATGACCATGCTGTCAGTGTGAAAAAATTCCAACTAGGATCTGACCTTTCTGTTACACAACGCAGTCTTGGATTGCTTTGGAATGTTAAACAAGACACATTCACATTCAGCATCAGCCTGTGACAAGCCCTTCACAAAATGAGGAGTATTGTCTACAGTAAACAGCATTTATAATCCATTAGGTTTCATTATACCTCTCACCATTCAGGGTAAGATACTGCTGAGACAACTTACTTCTGAAAGTTCAGACTGGGATAACCCCTTACCCAAGGAGAAACAACAAAGGTGGGAATCCTGGAAACAGTCTCTAAAAGCATTAGAACAACTCCAGATACCACGCTCTTACACCCAGCAAAATAGTGCTAGGATATATACACAATTGCACAAGACAGTTCTACATGTATGTCGGCAACAGAGTGGAACGCATAAGGAAGTTCTCTACGCCTAAACAATGGCACTATGTTCCCACTAGCCTCAACCCTGCTGACCGTGGCAGTCGTGCAGTACCTACTACTGCATTTCTGGACACATCTTGGCTATATCCACCAGAACTCTTGAATGATAAACTTATCTCAAGTTCAACAAATTCTACCTTGGAACTGGTTCATCTGGAATCTGATAAGGAAATCAGAGCTGTTACCATCACACTCAACACCTCTATGAAAGCAAGGGTAGGACTTAGTCCTCACCGTTTTGAACGCTTTTCTATGTGGTCCTCTCTTGTACGAGCCATTGCACATCTTGTTCACTTTGCTCATCAGTTTGCAAACAGCTCTAGCACTGAAAAAGTGTGTCACAACTGGCACATCTGTAAAGCCCCCCCCCCCCCCCCACAATTGAGGAGGTCTTTCAAGCATAAAGGGTCATTATTCAATGTGTCCAGTCCAACATGAAATGTACTCAAAAGAGATTGCTGACATATCAAAAGGACTCAACCTATCTAAGGATAGCTCTGTACAAATGAATTCTAATAATTGATCACGACAAGCTATTGCAAGTCGGTGGTCACATTGGAAGATCCCATTTGTCCAGTGAAGAGAGAAATCCCCTCATTATTCCAGGACGTCATCACATTACTGCTCTGTTAGTTAGACATCTCCATGAGCGATTTCAGCACCAATGTCGTCACTTTACTGAGGGAGCAGTAAGGTCTGCAGATTTCTGGATCGTCGGGATGAAAAGGTGTATATCGTCCATACTCCACAAATGCGTTAAGTGTCAAAAACTAAGAGGGAAACACCTACAACAACAAATGACAGAGTTGCCAGCTGACCTAAGCACTGAACCACCATTTACTAATGTTGGCATGGACATATTCGGCCCTGGACTGTTGTTACACGCAGAACTCGTGGCGAAGTTCCTAACAATAAGCGATGGGCTGTGCTGTTCACTTGCTTTCGTGCAGTGCACATTGAAGTGATAGAATCAATGGACTCTTCTTGTTTCATTAATGCTTTCAGAAGATTTGTTTCTGTACGAGGACCTGTAAAGTTACTGTAAAGTTAATAAGTGGGACTAATTTTACAGGAGCAGAAAAGATAGTGAACTTCTTGAATGGCAACAAGTGTAAATGGGAATTCAACCCACCTCATTCCTCTCACATGGGAGGCTCTTGGGAAAGCATGATTGGAGTTGCAAGAAAGATCCTGGACTCTATGCTACTGGACCAGAAAACTTATCAATTTACTCATGAAATCTTAGTCACTCTTCTTGCAGAAGTGTCTGCTATAATCAATGCAAGGCCATTGGTCCCTGTGTCCTCAGATCCAGAGTTCCCAGTGTTGCTCACTCCAGCCACTCTTCTTACCCAAAAAATTGGGGTAGCCACTTTTCCCACAGAGGAACTTGATTACCCTAACATTTACAAGCATCAATGGCAACGGGTTCAACATCTTGCTAATGTGTTTTGGAATCGCTGGAAGATGTACCTTTCTAACCTTCAAAGTCGTAATAAATGGCAAACTAGCAAACCCAATCTACAAGTGGGAGACGTAGTTCTTTTGAAGGAGACAGATTGCCATCGTAGCCATTGGCCCATGAGTCTTATTACAAAGACTATGCCAAGTAACGATGGAAAGGTACTCAAGGTAGAAGTCATGAAAAAAGGTTCTGCACACCTTTACTTCAGGCCTATAAAGGAACTAGTACTTCTTTTGCCCAAAGAGGAAGACAAGTCATCAACCTGATTTAAAGGGAGGTAAGAAGGAATCGTGCATATTGATGCCTTCCCCTCTGAATATGGATTTCCATGTCTCAGCCTGGACTTTCAAGACCAACATCTGCAAGTATTATGCTAAAT